CCAGGGCAGGAACGCACCACGGCGGGCGCGGCGGGCGGCACTACGAATTGCTACAATGGGCAGTAGTGGGGGGCGGGCGCCATCGAGGAATCACGAGAGATTGATGGAAGCTTTTTGTGCATCGGGAAGAGATGCACCGACATAGTGGGACCGGTCCGGTCTGGGGGTGAGAGGGCCAGAGGGAGAAAGACAAGAGCCACCCGCACTGGAAGCTGAAGCCCGCGAGCTGAGCACGCAGGCAGACTGGCAGGCAGGTGAGGTGACAGAAGTCTGGACTATCTGGAAAAGCCGAATAGGGTAGCTGTCATGGTGCGTGGTGTTGCCGTTCTCGATCCGAGGAGCCAATCGCATTCTGTTGACGTGGCCCCTTGTGTTGTCTGAATTCCATGTCTGTGTGCCTTTTACGTTACACGTAGCTACCTACTGTACCTACCTACCTACCTAGGCTTGCTAGGTAGGCACATAGGCAGGTACATGTTAGCACAAGGTGCCTGTGTGTCTCTGATGATCTGACGTTCCTTTCCTACCTACCCGATGTTCTGCAGACTCGGCGGCCGCACTCTGTCGGCTCCGTCTGGCGCTGCTACCCTTGTCAGAAAGGTTATTTTTCCTGTTCGGTATGCGCGACGATGAGGGATGCTTGGCTTTGCTGGCGCAAGAGACAAGGGAGGGGAGGGGCTCGAGGGCGCGCGATCGAGGACCAAGGCCAACTGGAGTTTCCCCGTCGGACATTTCTGCAAACGCGGGGGTCACTTTCGACATGTCGATTGGACAAGACATCGTCATGTGCTCGATTGCCAGTGATTACCTAAGGGGATGTGCCCCTCCACACTGATCAATCTGATACTACATGTACATGATGGGATATTTATCCTGACCTTGCGTGCATGATCGGCCAGAGACTGTTCTTGCGGATGAATTCACGGATGCAATACCGGGACTCTTCAGTCTGCCTGTATCTGTGTGCAACGCACCTTGACGCCAAGCAGAAAAAAAAAGATTCCAAAGATAACAAGCCCCAATGCACAAGTCTGGCCTGGCCCGCGGCTGACCGAGGGTCGGCCATGTGCGGCGGCGCTGTTGTGGCCGCCAGGCGAGTCAACATGAACAGTGCCGCATGAAGGGACGAATGTTGGTGGCGGGGCGGAGGCTGATGCAAGTGCCGGGAAAGGGGGATTGGCGACCGAGAACTCCGCCCCGTGTCACTGTCACGTGGAAGCTATCCATGTCTTGGACGCCCGAGTCCCCCGAAGCGATGAACCGCAAAGGGGAACCAAACGTGAGGCACCGTACCATGGAGAAGGTGGTGGTGGGTAGGCTTCAAGCAAATCGTCCGACCTTGTTGGGATCCAGGTGGTCCTCGGGCCTATCACGCCTTGTCTACCACCAAATCAAAGGATCTCCAATGACGACGATCGCTGCGAGCAGGGCACAAGCCAGCTGAACATATATGCGTTGGGGGGGTTGAAGGCGACCGTGCATGCAAACGGCAGTGGCATCGCCGAGCCCCGAAAACGAGGTGCGTGTCGCTAGACTTGAGTCGTCTGGTCTTTTCGTTTCTCTCTCTCTCTCTCGCCTTCTTTACAGTGACCAAGTCTTGTAGCCGCTACATGTACCTTGGCAGTCTTGTGTACCCAAGCCGTTGGGATCGGTCATGTGTCTCTCATCGTGTTGCTTCCTTTTCCCTCGGATGCAGCCAGCGCCCCAACGTGACTGCAGTGCTGCAGGACGACAGCTCCAGCCCTCCTGCCAGACTACCATGTACTACTGCTGCTGGACGGGGCAAGGGAAGGACCAATGGCAGCTGACGGGAATGGGGAAAGAACTGCGGTGCAGTTACACCGTGTGTGCTTGGCAAACACAGTGCACATAACACATAATACGGGCCTCGATGGGTCAGCAGCATCTCTGATTGGACAGAGTGTTCCAGAAGGCCCCCTCCGCAATTTCTTCCCTGGTGCTTCTCCGCATCGCGCCTGCCTCCAACAAAGCCCAAAGCCCATCTCGCCTGCCAGTTGGTGTGCCGCCATGGATTTCCCCACACAATCCATCGCAAATCCCCTCCATCCTCAATCTCTCGCTTCATTCGGCTCGGCTGATCAATCACTCTGCAGTCAACTCCTTTCCCCCTTTCCGCTTCGTCCCCGTTGGCATTGATCATTTTCTTGAATCGGGTCTCCAACGCAGAAGAGGATATCCCGGCACCAATCGAAGGGGGGGCGGCTCACCTGTCTTGTTTGTATAGGCCCCATCAAAAAGAGAAGAGGAAAAAGGACAAGCCCCAGCCGAGAAACAAAGAACAGACAGGGTCTGGAGCTGGCCACAATCCACACAGCATCCTCATCTCACCAACCTTACTGCTTTCCCCATTACCCACTGCCCATCCTCTCCACCTTGATCAGCAGTATCAGCAGCAACAGCAGCAGCAGCACTTACAGTACCAGCACGAGGGACCTCGGAACCCTGTACGAGTGCCCCCCCCCCCCCGAAGCTTGGCGGGACACGCCGGCTTGGACGTGGCTCCATTTCTCTGTTGTTTACTCCCCCCCCCTCCCCCCCCCTCCCTCCGATCCCCTCCTTCTCCCTTCCCTCGCCTGCAGCAAGTGCCCCAACGCGCCTGCAGTGCTGCAGGACGCAGTTCCAGCCCTCCTTGCCAGAGTCCCATTTACTACTGCTGCTGGACGGGGCAAGGGAAGGACCAATGGCAGCTGACGGGAATGGGGAAAGAACTGCGGTGCAGTTACACCGTGTGTGCTTGGCAAACACAGTGCACATAACACATAATACGGGCCTCGATGGGTCAGCAGCATCTCTGATTGGACAGAGTGTTCCAGAAGGCCC